TATTTCGTTCTTTTTCGTTTCGTTTTTGCTATCGTTTTGTACTTTGCATAAATCCTCTCATGTTGACTATCTAATTTCCATTTTAAAATATTATCATTGTATGGTTTTGCTTGATGTGTACGAAAATTATTCAATTTCTGCATAGTTTTGTATAAACATTTTAATAAACCACTCTGACAATTATGCGTAAAAAAATGTATGCATAACAATTATGCGTAAATAAATGTATGCATGACAATTATGCGTAAATAAATGTATGCATGACAATTATGCGTAAATAAATGTATGCATGACAATTATGCGTAAATAAATGTATGCATGGTTTTGCCGTATAAAGAGTTTGACGGTACATTGCTTGTGTACCTTATGTTGTATTCGCGAAGTGATCTTTCGCAATTAAATCTTTTACAATGTGCACATACTTTGCAAAACTTTGGTTGACCGTCATGTGTGGTCCGTCACATATGACGATAGCTCTTTAATTACTTGCGATTCCGATTGTTCTCCTTAGAACATCTCCGAGTGACTTAGTACTTGCAAATGACAAGTTAAACAGGTCTATTCTGTTAATAAATCATTAATATTTCACTATAAGTTAAACTAAAATATCATTGAATACTATCGAATAATACCTGTCAATTAGGAAAAAGATGCCTTACTACAATTTGATGAATGATACCAACACATTTACATCCAGATTGAGTATATGCAAAGGAACTATTTTATCTGCGTCAGGATAACGTAAATGTATATGTTACTCTGACTATGTAAAATTATAACCAAACAAAATATGACAATATACAAAATGACATATTTTCTTTTATTGCAACCTTTAATTTTTTCCCTAAAATATCGTTCACCACTTCGAGTGTCTTGTGAATACTTCATTGTCGTAACCTCTATAACTTGATATATACTTTTAAATGCTACAATGCATGTAGATAAGATATTAAAAAAATAATAATATCGAGAAGTAACAGAATGATGAATCTGCTTTTCTATAAAACCGGGCTTTTTCTCATTTCTTACAATCCAGAATTATTCAATCAAAAGTTGTTTTTGTGTCTTGATAACATATACTGATACCAATTAATGATTTTCTGCTATTGACAGAAACTCGAGCAATGCGATGAATTTATAATTATTCTTACTACATGTATCCCTATGTTCCGTTTGATCATACAATACTCATGAAAAATAAAATCGAAATTAGTTTTCATTAAACTTTTCATCATCAAACTCTTTAAAATATTTTTTCTAGCCAAAGCCATATCCAAATACTACATGTACAAATCGTAAACAACCTTTCATCCGGCTTGAAAATACATGTTTAGTCAACCTACATTAGATGCTGGGCTTATCAAATCATCCTTCTTCCGTCGTCTATTTCTCAAGAAGTACTTTACAAAGACACACAGATCTTTCTATTATTATGCAAGTAACCCCTTATTCATAGTTTTCATGTTTTCATTTTGAGACTGATTGGATGAAACAAGAAGGCCCCCAGTAAGCCATTTTGGTTTTCGAGACTTCAAGTTTGGTATCATTCTTTTCTAGAGAAATAAACAATATTATCTCTCTGATAGAAAACTCTCAAACCCAGTCGTATGAAATTGATATATCTGATAAACAGCGTTATGTCAGAATATGTTGAAACACAGCAATAAAACAGAGTCAAATGTCATTTGCAATGTAAATAGCCATATATCTAAAAGAAAACTACTTTAATTGATTCTTTAACTGTATAGGTTAGTAAACAACGGTAGGCTAATCTACATTAAGTCAAACGCTTATGTTAACGTACTAATCTAGTTATGTTGTTTGAGATGTTTGGTCGGTTGAGGAGGACTCTGACGGAGACCTCTCTGGAGTCTCGAATGACTCTATCTGGCGTTTAACGTCACTACCGCATGGAATCACATAAACTCGGTGTCGGTTTTAATCATTTGTCTTAGCGACATCAAATAAGAGTTTTTCATGTATGTTCACCTCTGTACAAGTATTTTAGCACAAAGAACTTATTGTTTGAGCTGACATTATGACAAGCCATGCGACTAAGGAGTCACGACTACTCTGTATTTAGGCTCAATGCTCACGTCGTGTACAGTTCTATTTATATACATTGTCATCAGATATAAGGGGTATGACAACTTATCTGAAAAGTTTAAACTATTCGTGTACTTGAGTTGGCCTGCTTAACAGATTAAAATGTATCTCGCTTATAATAATAAGCACACGTGACTAGTCGGGTATTTTACACTGTCAGTTAGAAGAGATTGTTAAATTCATATTCTAGGTTGTGTACAAACTTAATTGTCAGTGTTGATGCCTTGTTTTCACTGCCTTATATACTAATCTGTTTAATGAAAATGTACCTTTTTAATCTATAAATTCATTTCATAAACTGTATTTGTACCTGTCTATTAGGCTCTTGGTTGATATTTAGAGTTATCACATAGTTAAAATAAGATTGCAAGACCATGTCTGACTATTTTAAGTCCCTGACGTAGAGGAGATACAACATATCCGACCGTAATAATCCAGGTTCCAGGAACCACACACTATTGGTAAAACAAAAACATCCATACTTCTTCGACGACGGCCGGTGAGACGTGGACACTGGACGTGATTTTCAGTATTTTGTACTTATGTGGAGATGGTCTTTACTCTCCACTCAACTGATCGAAATGTCATATTTCTTTGTTATATGATCATTAAGTCAAAAATAAATCATCATATCTAAAATATATATTTAGCTTACAATGATTGAGAGAGAGACCCCGTGTTAAAACAAATAAACAAAAAAGTTTAGTTATGTTTTATTATACATATATTTCCGTTTGCTTACATTCATTAAATGCTTTAATATATTGCAATATCGATGAGAATTATGTGAAAAATGCATATATATTTAAGAAATATGAATTTGTGCTATCAGTGAAGTGGTATGTAATTCGAATGACATTATTTATCAGTCATGTTTATGTTTTAGGAAAAAAACTGAATCCTCAATCCGGTCATCATCATGAGTTACAATCAGCCGTTGTCCTTCGTTCTGTTGCAAGATCACACACTTCAAACGCTATCTACCATCTAAAGCCAGTTTGCATTTTTATTATCATAACACCATGCAAATGAATGGTATGTTGGTTGGATAGTGTGTTCACTTTTACATAATAAGACATCGATATATTTACCCTATTTAATTACAAATTACCACATATTGTTTGTTCTCAACAGTTAATAAATGAAACCGATGGTTGTGATCAGCACGATGAATTTCACTAACTTCCTTCCAACCTGAAAGGTATCTGCAAAAACAACAAAGGAATTCTTCATATCTACACCACATGCAAGTATTATATTATTGAAGGATAAAAAAGTAATAGAAAGTTTGGAAATTGAAAAAAGGCGTAAAGCGAATTCCATTTATCATGAGAATCTCGCTGAACACTATTTTAGAACATTGATAAGCGCTGTATAGGTAATATCAAATTTGACCTATTTTCCTATCATTAAGATTAAATTGCAAGCTTACCAGTGGCCCCATTCGTCGACGTGCCTAATAATGTGTCACGGACGGTTAATTTCAACGTTGCATAGTGAACGGTTGATGGGTGTTTGCCACCTTTTCGTTTTTTGCTCATTCTTTTTCGTTCGGCGTTGCTCTGACTTGTGGTCGGGCTCTGACTTGGCTATAAAGGATGAAAGTATCAAAATATAAAACGAACATAACGAAGTCACTTTCTTTGGTTACCTGCAATTCTATCTGCATTAGAACTGATGAAAATAATTGTAATTAATATGATAATGTATCATTTATCAAATCACAAACGTAAATAAATGACATATTCTTAAAAAAATATTAATAATTATACATAAACTGTAAAGCCTTGTGAACAGAATTTCGAAACAATGTTATTTTCAGGAAGTTTAGGTAAAGCGGGCATTAATTAGCGTTTGTATTGATAACTGTTTTATTTAAAAGACAAACACATATGCTACAATAAATACTTACACATGCTTGAGCGCACACGTTAATGGTGCATTTCAAAAAGACTGTGTTGGAACCGACCAACCTGAATCCAGTTAGCGTGGCAATCTGGTTGACTTTTTTCCCGTTTATATTTTTTGATTGTATATTGTCACTTGTAAATTGTTCAAGGACTTCAGGTGTGCCTCTATAGAAATATGAAAACAAAGCATATTCAAATTGAAAGCAAATATAACCATATGACACTTTTTGGTTCAAGTTTAGCTATATCTTGTACGGTCTTACAATGTGCCAAACATTTAATATTAACATGATATCTAATACTTGTCTAGGGATTTATTTTCCATATAACAAAGCTCTTATGCATTCATTCTTAAATTCAAAAGAATACCCGTCCCCGTAGATTATTTTTCGAAATTTAAAACGAAATTAATCAAAGTGTTTGACACATCATTAAAATTAAATAGGGCGTGGCTTCTGCTGAAGTGCTGTTTTTCAAAATGTTTACGATAAAATCAAAATAGTCAAAACTCGTGTTCTCAAAATTATCTGGATTTCTTCCGTGTGTTCTTCGAACAGGATATAAATGAGACCAAAAATGATCTGCTGCCCTATTGCAACACTTTGGATCTTTTTCGTTTCCTCTATTTCCTGTCTGTTCTATCTACGTTCTGTGTCATGCAGTGTCTCCCTAGACCCCCTTCCTCGTATGACCCTGGCTGTTTTGAGAACGCTTAACCCAAACAAATACCTAATTTCAATGGATTAAATTAAGTCGGAAAAATTCCAAATAACGCTTAACCTTAACAAATACCTAATTTCAATGGATTAAATTAAGTCGGAAAAATTCCAAATAACGAAATAAAGCAACTTTGCAACAAGGATTTTAAAATGCAACCCTCTGTGAGTCACTTATATCAAGTTGTTTATGTGTGAATCTCCATCTAATAATTCTATTGACATCTGGGGCTATTTTGCCTGGGATTTCCATTACAAAATCGCATAATCAAGGTATTTTTCACCAAATCGCTGTATTGCTAGGCTGTGATCGTATGATTTTAATATAACGGTCGAGTTTATGTTACGTTACGAACTACAACAATAGGCAAAATATGTAAAACCGTGTTTCTGCATCGTACAATGCAAGGACAAGTACATTTCAAGTACATTGCACTGAAACACAATGACAAAATGCCATTGAAATCATTCACTAGCAATGGTATGCTATAAACAAGTATATATGACTGTTATGTGCAACGCATTGAAGATGCTGTATAATTTCATACAAAAAGTGCTTGTTGTGTATTGTGTGTAAATAAATCAAACAAATGACCTAGGAAAAATCGGTACGCTATCTGTGCTGCTATCAGTAGCAGCTGCGGTACATCCTTTCACTTGCGTGGCATGAGTTCCTGGAAATAGATCATGTAAATTTATAATCAATCCATTTTGATATACTTTATATTTAATATTAATAACATTGTTCACTGATTATTTTCAATTTGAAAAAAATAGATTACTGGTTTAACAACAATAACGCCAATACAACTTAAAATTGATATAACTAGTGCAAAATATGAACAAAGGGGATTTTAACATGGATTCCCTAGACAAAGTACCCGATCATAAAGGTCAATTCCAACAAATATCTCGTCCTAATGCCGGAAATGTTAGTAGCTATAACTATGGCAAGCCAACTTTACATTTATTCAATGAGCAATGTCGATCCTGTATTTCATCGAATTATATAAGATATCTTATTTAGCATATGAGATATCTTATATAGTATATGAGATATCTTATATAATATATAAGATATATTATATTCTATATGAGATATCTTATATAGAAATTAAATGAGATGCTATATAAAATATCTTATATGATATATAAGATATCTTATATCGTATATAAGATATCTCATTCAATTTTCTATATAAGATATCTGATATCATATATAAGATATCTCATATAGCTAAATAAGATATCTTATATAATTAAAGTCTCGTTACTAAATAAGATATCTTATATAGGAACGAGATTTTAACAAAATGTCGAAAATAAAGTCTCCCCGTCCGGAATATCTCGAGGATCTACGTAGGGACAGTAGGCATGTTGTAACAACACGTGTTCCTGTCGCCGCCATTATGTCTGAGCCCACTTCAAGAGTGCGGGAAATGGCAGCCTCTGCTTTGGCCGCTATAAGAGAGACAAGGCGAGCTAGGCCTAGGAAAAATACAGCATCCGTACCATCCCTCTCCGCCATTGCGACCAATGCAATCCTGAATGTGCTCCGAATGATTCTCGAGAGAGAAATTAGTTTCTTGTTTTTAATGCCACGAAATCTCATTCTATATCAGATATCTTTTATAGCTATATGATATATCTTATATAGAAAATTAAATGAGATATCTCATAGGCGTTATAAGATATCTTATATAGTATAAATGATATCTTATATACTTATATAAGATATCTCATTTAATGTTTATATGAGATATCTCATATAGGATATAAGATATCTCATATAGGATATAAGATATCTTATATACGATATAAGATATCTTATTACTAAATATGACTGATGCCCTTCACTGTAGTCGGATAACGTTTCCTATGTTATCAGGTAAATCTCGATAATTTGTCAATGGACACAATAACATCAGGACAGTTGTGTAATCTTTCAACGTACCAACAATAGTGAGCGCACATCATGTATACAGTACATCGTTCGTACACCGTCGTCACATCGTCCACATAACTGTGGAATTTAACAATCGTTCGCCCCGTTGTGCGCTTCTCTCCGCTCTTGTACGATTGGTTTATCAATATTTCGGAATGAAAAACAAATTAGGATTATGTTCAATTCAATAATGTGTGATTTACAGTATTACAGTGCCCGCTAGACTGTAAAGAATGGGCTTTGCTCCCAGGTCACAGAACCAGTCAGTTAAATGATGATTGACCGGAGTTTTACCTAGCCTGTGCCTGACGAGTTATGTAAGAACTCCGAGTGAGGAAACCATTACTGTCCAGGTACATGTTCACCTGTATATGGGACCTTGTCCATATGTGTTATTATTTACATGTATTGATTTGGACAGTTTAATAAACACAAACAAATAATTCTAAATTTAAGAAAATATAGATAAGCTATATATATGTAGCTGGAAAATATAGAAACATACTTAAAAATCTAATTTAACTGTTTAATCACGAATCTGTATTTATTGTTATTCCTCTGTTTACACCAACCACGATTGTTATCGCGCAACGTTTGACCATCGTGCGCACAAATGTGCGCAAGCAACAGTCGTCCAGGTTTTAAACTTTCGCACATCCTGTAAGGTGATACGATCACACAACTGTAAATGCACACTTATGTTTTATCGTCATCTTGGAACTTGACAATGCGAATTATCCACTTTTAAGTTTGGTTTTAGTTTGGTTTTTTTATATTCTTTTAATTACTCTTTGTTGAAGTAGCCCGTATGCAACATCGATGAGGTACATTTCATTAATTTGGCAATTTAAAAATATCAATGTGTATCAATAATTTGTAAAATAAATTTCACAAATGCAGCTGTCATATGTTTATTTAACACAGTGACATACCTGCACCGGCTATCAACAGATTATAGTTTCTGTTAAGACTTATAGTTGTTACGATTGCTTTTGCTCCCGTAGTTTCTCGCAGTTCCATTAACATGTGAATACTTTCTGTAGCATTTTTGGTGACTGGATTATCTGTTACCGACCCACTGCAAGATATAAAACAAATCAATCATAGTCATTGATCACTAAATAGTATATATCCCGATTCATTAAAAAGTCGTGAACTCGATTTACAAAAACAATCATTTAACAACAATCAACAAGCTTGTCTTATAATCTTAAAATAAAATTGCGACATTCTGAATAATACGTCCTTCTCTTAAAATATATTTGTATCTGCAATGAGTGATATGGGAAGGTGAATAACATTGACACCAGTGTAAAGAAAGAAACTTGATCTTCAATGAAATGACCTGATGTATCCCACTGCATGATCGTATTAAGCGATTAATGGGACACTGGAGAATCGGGGGTAATTTTCTCTGTCGTCTGTTTATGGGACATTGGAAAAATCAAGAAGAAACCTGATTTATCTCACTGCATGTGTATCGTAAAAGGCTATTAATTTTTGGGGCCCTGCAGAATCGGAGGTGTTCTTCCGTGTTTTCTACAAAGCGGAAATGGAAGAGACGAACATTGATTTGCCACTCCCACTTCAACACATTTGATCTTTATCGTTTTCTTTCTTTCCTGTCTCCTTTTTTTCTATCTACCTTTATTCTCTTTCCGGTGGTGTCTTTCTCGGCACCCGTCCCTTATATGACCCAGGATTTTGCGAAGACATTAATACCCAAACACACAAATGAGTTATTCAAGTAAAATGTAAATACAGAGGTGAGTAATGACAGGGTATGACATAATAATTTGATTGAAAAAAATGTACAATAGGAATATAAAATGTTATACTTAATAATAACTAGAAATTGATAGCTATAAAAACTACGGGATCTTCACATTAAGGGCCTGATTTGGACATATAACCGCAAAGCATATTTTAACTCTATTGACTTTATCCTCATTAAGGTACTGATCAAATTTAGATTGTTTATTACTACTTTGTTGTTTAATATAAATGAAAGAACCGAAAGTTTTGATTGAACGCCAAAATCATAAAAAGAATCAAGATGGATTTCTATAGACATTTTCATGTAAGTCAAGCCACTCATTGAAAAAAATGTTTAATCCCCTTGTTCCGGAATGCTCCTGGTAAACGGGAATTGGCCTGTGCTTTTTGCATATGTAGGAAAGTTAAAATGTTGTGACATGCTCGCCTATTTTGACTTTGAAAGTGGATTAATATTGGTGTTTGCAGGAATTGAATACGCAGCAATTACACCTTCTGACCATGCGCGACAATATATGTTAATGATTATATACACATCTGTAATTCAGCAACTGTAAGGAGGCCACAAATCATGACAATGACAGAAGAATAATAACAGGAATAGGAATAATAAGAGTAAGAAACATAACACAAAGCGATAGGTCTTTTCGCCATTTTGTAAAAAACAATCTAACTAGTAGAAGTAATTAATATATGTTTTGTATCTTATCACAATTCTATTTCTACTGAATCTTTTAATGCAAAACAATTCGACTAAACACTGGCATGTTAAACATGTTTTCTTTTAGAATATTCACATTTTGTACAGTTTCATATAACAAAACGCGTGAAATGTTTATGTGTGACGTTTCGACAGCTAGACCGATAAGTTATCTGTCTCTTTCATCGGACAATTGACCCGTTAAGCGGATGAACCCTGAGCTGTTACAAATGTATATAATGAAGATTAATTCGAACTCGAACGAGCTATCTTCTTTGAAGTTATCCTTATCAATAACATCATTATGCCGTGTAACTTGATCAATGATTGCAGATTTATCGATCTGCAACTCCGACTTCTTCGTTCCGGATCCATGTTTTCTTCCCCATTGGATTTTCGTATATTTTTTGGGTTTATCAAGTCGGACCCAAATCCATTTAACAGTTTTTCATATAAACGATGCGTCGGAATTACATCCGTTTCTCTTCACAATTTTTACAGCTTAGCTTAAGGTGTACAGCGGTATTGCGAAGCTTATCTAGGGTTTCATGCCGTCAAATTATACCCTGGGTGGTTTCAAATAATCCCTGTATGTAAGGGATGACCAGGTGATCTTTCATATGTGTTTCTTCTTAATTACGCTCAACGCAGCAAAGCAAAATAGACGGCGATTTTATTACTACTTTATACAGTATTATATAATTTATATGCGGTTTGTATAGTTAATACAGTTATAATTATGTTTGAAAGTTAAATAAGTACGCTTAGTGTATACATGATTCAATGTATTGTATGTTGTTGTGTAGTAAAATAAAAATAAAAAAGAGTAAGGAGCGCGTGAGGAGCCGATGTAGACCAATCATAGAGGGCGACGAGAAGCACGTGAGGAGTCGTGAGGAGCCGATGTCAGCCAATGATAATGCAGTTTGTGTGCGTATATAAGGTAGTGAGTGTGATAAATAGGTAGAGAATATCATTATTATGGGACCTACACCACGCTGGCTTATACCGGGGAAATTATCATTGGATTTAACATGTGCGCTTACCAATTATTATATCAATTATAAAGCGGAACCGTTTGCTTTAAGTCCAACTTTTTAAAACAGCATCAAAAAAGATTATACAAAGTAAATGTTCCATACGCATATCGCATTAACTTGTGTGGCTGTAAAGGCAATACAAAACATTATGTATTATTATGTATATCAGTACATGATAAATAACAACGTTAATATTAAAACGATATGAATAATTGATATCTGCTTTCGATAAGAAATAATAATGGAACGAAGATATCGAATAGTTCTTTAGTTCTTACATACTCCAAGGCTCCAACTTCGCCACTCGTGTAACATCACGTGTTATTTTATTGCATGTCAAGGTTACGGTCTTCGTTTCGCTCTTTGGGGTGAGAGCCACCACTACATGACCAGCGGGAGTTGTGTCCGGATTTGTCTTTGTTAAAACTAGCACAACGTCAGTATTCTTGAATAGATAATGATTTGAATTTAACAGAAAGTTATAATGAAGAATAGTGTATTTTAAGAGATATAACAGAAATTGTTACTGATTAAAGCTGCAGAAAGTTTCCAATGCAGCTGTTTTATAATGTAGTTAACCGTGTTTAGTTATCTGAACTTCCTCCTGTCCATTTTCGAATTCTAGATCACGGCCAATGACTTCTGAATCCGGCTTAAAAAATAAAGATTATCATTGCTTTCAAATTCCGATTTTCGGTACAAATATGATAATCTTATGCATAAGCCTGTTCATAGAGCTATGACATTGCAAAAATTAATCTTACTTGTGCTTGTTTGTTTATTGTCTAGGTTATCTCCTCTCGGTTCAAGAAAATGTTTTGGACATGCTAAAACGTCTAATTTGATATAGATTTGTATTTCACAAACGATACGGGATTTACCCGCCAATAAACTCAATAACCGTTATCCCTGCAAGATTGAGTTATCCTGTAACCATGTAGAACCATAGAACTTGACAGGTTTCCATGACGTCGACGACTATATTAGTGAGCGAAGGTATGTAATTTGTTTGCGAAAGAAACACAATCGTGTGACGTCTTGGAAAATAGAAGTGCGCAGTAGATTTAACAGTAACATTTATGTAGGGCTAAAACGGAAGACTTATTTAAGGATCTGAGATATATTGAACAAGTCCTTAGTTATAGAAAATACACTGTAGTTTTGAAATCAGGTAATGATAAACCGCTAGTCATATTCGACACAACCATTTGGAAAAATATTAAATAAGTCACAGAACCAACCGGAACACAATGTTTAATATGAACAATATCACTATCTGTGCATTTTTCTTTTTGAATCTGTATTATATCTTAATAAAACAAGATACATTCATGGTGTCTGACAGCTATACTGCAGCATATTGACGCAATTTCAAGAAGACATGTATTGATACCTAAACAAAATTTTGGGAAAATATTGTAATAAATAGGGATGATGCCGCAATTGTCATCATTATGGTTTAAAAATTCATACATGCTTGTGGTTGATTCGTGAATGCAAGTCTTTTGCCTTTTTTAATTTCTGTTAATAATCCCCAATCAGAACCCTGATGTTTATCTGAGAAGTCAAGTAATGCACAATTTGTAAAAAAATATCTGTTATTCATAACCAAATCATATTTGACAGGGTGTTTTTTTTTTGTCTTCTGACCCCGGTAAATCACTTTATATTTCGATCATAAAATAGATTATCTATATTAATCTTACGATTGCACAACCAGATATGGTAAATGTGTCAGTGTCTCGTGTTTTTATTATGACTTGTTCATGTCCACAGGTCGCCTTTTCTGGTAAAGTCCAAGGTGAACCGTGCGTTATTGTCACGGATAGTGTACCCTGTACATCACATGCTGGATATAAAAAAAAAAAATATTAAGGAAAAGTTGCTCAGACGATCACCTATTGCCATACGAGCACATGTTATTATGTGTGCTAAACTGATATAAATTATATGATAATATGTAACAACTCAATGAAAAAAATATACTTATCCATAACTAACTGAGATATTGAATCTGGTAAAAAGGCCGATAATCTTTGTTTTATTCAAATAGAGCCAATATTTAATGCAGAATAGGTTTGTACTTAATGCATTTCTGTACAAGGAAAAACGACACTGTCAGTACAAACGTGGTCATACTGTTATAGTTTGATATCTGAAGGTATAATTAAAAACATACAAATCGACTATTTGATGATTAAAAAGGGTGTTTTACGTGCGATAAACACCCTACATATTCTACTTTGATGACAACTACCTATTTTTGAAATATAATATCGAGAAAAAGAACGCATTATTAAATGAAAAGAGATATCCAGTTCAAAATAGGTTAGGTATTATATGTAACATTTATTTAATAATAGTTTTAATTGTGCAATATGTTATACAAACATAAAATACGATATCATTATGTTTAAAACAAGTTTCATCTATGTTTGTATCTGGTAAACACCATGCATAAAATATATGAGTTTGAGGTCATCATATGGATAAAATGTAAATGTTACTTACACACAGATTGTATAGGGTCTTCTCCTCTTAAAAAACAAATGAACGTCAAAAGTATCAGACATACGTATGATATATTCATCATGATCATAACCTTGTGATTTGAAAATATTTAAGAACACATTTGAAATATTCTGATGGAACAAAAAGTAATTACATGACTGCCAGCTCATTGGTTTTTCTAAACAGTTGTGTGCTGACAGCTTACAACTTATTTTCCATTTTGTCAATATCGTTGTTTTCTGCTTGAAAGTGTTAGCGTTCTTTTTTGTGTTGTGATGAGTTTCAACAATGCCATTCATGAACCAAAAAGCATCATATTCCCAAACTTATATTGGTGAAATCAGCTTTCGATTGATACCAATTTATTCAATACGCGTGTCTGTAGAATGTATCGCATACAGATAATTTGCATTATGATATTCGAAATGATAAGTATGATTGAACAGGAAAGAGATACGGGTAAGTATTTTGTTATGTAATTCATTTTCGATAGCATATTATATTAATTGTAGTTTTGGAGTTCCTTGACGATGTTTTCAATAGATATGTGTTGTAGTCGTATATAAATATGAAGTTACGTGTCAACAAGATGGATCCAAATTATCGTAAACGTTTTGGAGTTTCAGAGAACATTATTCGAATATTACGACAAATAACACTCTTATGAATGAAATATATGTCAATCTCATTTCGATCAATTAAACGGGATATTGATATACTGACTTGCATTGATCAATATCATATCCTACATTACATTTTTGTAAAGATTTATTACCGGACCTAGAAACTTGACCTGAGCACAGACTCTGAGTTCGAGTATATGAAAGATTTCATGATTACAGGCCCAGTTTGTTTGTTGCAGATAGGATATTATTGTTTTGGGCCTTTTTTTCATTCGCTTGGTACTAATATAGTGAACAGAAAACATTTGATTTTTCTCAATGCACGGTGTAACAGGCAACTTAGGTGAAAATTTTGTTTGACATTAGCTGCGGAACACATTGTTTGCTAGTGTGCCGGTCTACGGCCCGATCTGTCATAGGTTCGGGTACCACATACCGTTGCCTCTTTATTATTGCCGGTCATACGAGTCATAACAAGCAGTACACATTTACATTTAGCACACCTAAAAATGATTATGCGACATTTCTTTATAAAACATAATCATGGAACAATATTTTACTTTAAAAGGAAAACCGAAAGATATTAGTATACGCAAGTACTGTTCAGTTATACCACAGTAAGAAGTACACTTTTGCTGAATTCAACATATTATGCATGTACTACAGATGAAAAAGTGGAAAGCAAATATATTGCTTCACACTGTCACATTCGCTTTTACATTAAGGCAATGGAAAGGTGTTTCCCAACGCCATAGCAACGTATGTGACAGTGTAAAATAGTGACTGCGCAAAGAAAATGCGCGAACAGTTTGTTTCATCCGCCATGTTTTTGCATTGCGATTCATCGCCCATGTAGGTCGACAGGATTTATTTGCTTAGGTCACGTCACAATGTTCCTTGAACAGCTTAATCAGTGTTATCACAAACAGATGTTTTAAACTCTATACGTAGTCACCAGTCAATAGGACTTGTATGTTTAGAAGCCTTAGATGATTCGAGAGGGATCTAAAGTCTCAAGTTAGCTGGCATATGGTTTTCTATATGTTTTTTGAAATCACTTTGTTCTGATACTAATACATATGGATGTTATGATCATTAAATAGAATCGTTGAAAGGCCTTAATCACTAAAAAATATATTAAAATTGCATAGAAGAACGTTATAAAAGTACTTTGCTTTTCTATCAGTATTGTTGAAATATTAAGAATTTGCATATCATTTTGTTCGTTATGTTCTTTAACCAAGTTTATCTTAAGAATTATTGCGATCAATTCCTGTCAATTAATCTTTATCCTATATTCATTGTTCACAATAACATGACAATGTGTTATTGGGTGATAATGCAAAAAAGAACTTTTTAAGACGAATTTCGCCAAAAACTTTCGAATTAAAAGGTTACTGGTAAAAAGCGTTTTTAAAAAACAAAATATCTTAACCGTCTATATTTAAACTTGTGTTGCAGTCCCTCTAGATAACAGTACCAACTCAAAATGTTGTTATGATTTAATAAAAGCAAGTGTGTAGTATTTTTAACAGTTCCACATGTACCATTATAAGACCTCTGACCTACCTCACTACGGAAACACAACTGTCACCCACCACCACCACCACCACCAGTTATAAACATAAATATGTATATCATTATCATGTGTTTTTTTAATCTGAGTTAGCAACTATGAAATATGAACAAGAAACCACACTGTTCAATTAAATAAGTGTGCTGGGGAAAAATCTACAGCACACTGTTTCCGTGCCACGGCAATTTAGGCGATGAATGGCTGTGGTTTTGAATCAAGGCACCTCGTGTTTATATCGGGCCATCGAAGTTAGTCTTCTTTTAGATCCTTTAACAGATCATGTTCAACAGAACAGAAAAATAGCTGTCCTCTACAATTTCGTACATGTGTACGAAGCAGGTCATATCGTCCCAGCTCGTCGTCCAATCATGCAGTAATACGTGCCGAATTATCTAGCAATAAGCTAGTCCCGTTGTCAAAGTCGGTCGGTGGACACAATAGGTTTGGTTTGGTTTTATATCGTTTAAAGTCATATTCACAGCTGAGGTCATTTACGGACGTGCCTCTGTGACGTTTACAGAGGTTCGTATCAGTCACTTCCACTGAAGATCCCTATTGTCTATACTACAAGTAGATTTGTTTTGAGCTACCAGTGCAAATATATACAAATAAAGTAACTTGCATAAATGAGTACATTTTCTAATGAATTGATCAATATAACTGTTGTCTTAAAACACTCATTCCCTCTGAGTAATGAGTAATGTACAACATCTAACAACTATGAAATACATAACAACAAAATGAGTTCTCGAAATGAAATACTGAGTACCCCCTAGCCAATAAATGATTACTCCCTACCTGGGACTATACAATAAATCACCTTCTGTTAATTAGCAATACTAAATACGAACAGTTAACACATATCCATGAGGTGAGTACTCCTCAAAACGAGCACTCACTGCCTAAGGTATGAATTCAATAACCGAGCACTCACTATACCTAATGTATGAACTAATTAACTGAGCACTCACTACCTATATTGCATGAATTAGATATCCGAGCACTCGCTCTGACAACAACTAAACCGAGACTCTCAAAGTAACTACTGAGTATTATCAAGCTTTCACATACCAAGTGCTCCCATACACTTTATCTAGGTCACAGGGCAGACCCAAGGTATAATTCACAATCATGTGATGTTCACTATCATGTGATGTACCGATTACACACAGTTACCGTAGCGGAGAAGGTAAGCCCTGCTCAGGCACATCTACCTCCGCACTTACTCTTCAGTAAATTATATCTATACCTTTGCAGTAAGATACATGGAAGCCTTGTTCAGACACGTCTGTATCAATACTGGTATATTTACCGTATAACAAGTGTCTCTTTCTCTATTGGCGATCGAACAAGAAATGGGCTGCTTAAGTTAGCTTACGGCTTTCTATAGTCTGCTGCAATAGAAACTTAGCGCCACCTATGACTCTACAGTGCCATTAAAACGTTTACATACATTCTTACCTCCGTGTGATAGCGCGAATCTGATGCCGACTTTATAGTGCTATCTCACTGAAATACCATGCAGAAGGCACCCAGCACAGCATTCCGCCCTGTCACATTATACTGACAACGTGTGAACCAAATGTTGGCATTACCCTTCATGCTGAACGTTAAGCAGGGAATAACATCTACCATTTTTATGGACTTAAGTATGTCCCAGCCAGGCGTGGGGACAGAACCCATAACGTTCATCATTAAAGCTAAAATAGAGGAAATTGCCTAGCACGGCGTTAGTAAATACAAGGTAGTTAGAAGTAGAAGGAAACATAAAGATTCCAACTAATGCAATTGTTGCAGAAGATTGATTTAAGTCGCTGTTGTGTCTCCAAGTGGAGGGCACGAAAGCGAATCCCTAATTACTACTGTGATCGCCTCTAACGATACATTCCCTTTTCCGACCTGCAGGAGTGGTCGAGACAATTAAGCAACAGCATATTATAATTCGTCATCTGGTTTCTTAGGAAACTCCACAGTTTAGTATTTTTGTTTCAAATCAAGATCTACGGTCAATTTTAAAGAAAATCAATGCTTGTTAGAAATACTGGAATGTAAATTAAATTATTAAATATACGCAATGTGGAATTTTTTGTATTTTGTCACCATTGTCATAGAATCAACCTTTCCGCGAAGAAATGCTGTTTAATTAATGTTTTTTATCTTGAAGATGTTTTGTTTTTATACGGGAAAAAAACATTTATTTTAAATTTCAATGGTGAATGTAAAAGAACGTAAATATTAGGGTAACAACAGGTGTATTCTTTTCTCGATCCCCGACCTGCAGGGTGGTTGACACAATTCAGTCAACAGCATCTTTTAAATCGTCATCTAGTTTCTTAGGAAACTCCACATTTTAGTATATTTGTTTCAAATCAAAATCTGCTGTCGATTTTAAAGAAAAGCAATGCTTGTTAAACATGCTGGTATGTAAACTAAATGATTAAATATATGCAAAGTTGAACTATTGGCGTATTGCTCAACTGTATTTCGTCACCATTGACATAGCATCATTCTTACCGCGAAAAAGGCTGTTCAATTAATGATGTGTTTCAGGACGGTGTTTTCTTCTCAGGTGGGAAATTTTGAACGATTGACAACCGATGATTTTACTGACGGAAATTAGCAGCTGGTGGTGACAATAAGAGCGGATTTAGATAAATAAATTATCCACTTATCGATATAATGTATGTAAGGTATGTGCTTTGTCATTGTAGATATTTGTCAGCACCTCAAAACTATCAGATACCAAACCATGTCGGAGAATTCCACGTTTTCATATAGAGGTGCGCTCTGGCCCCACACCAGATATATATCTATTAAAATGCCAAAGTCTGTTGTCAGGGCCAGCCAGAGGAACTCGGGTTACGTATAACCCCAATAATTATCCTGGTTATTTCTAAATAAACCATTGTGTACCACAGTATTTTAACGTACCACAGAATATGAATGCCAATTACAAATGAATATGACGTTTCTCTCATTTTGTAAACAACATATTTACTGAACATATACATAACTGACGTTATAAAGCAATGGTAAATGATACACTCCAACGTGATTTTGTTATGGAAAGAGTTATTTCGTTCTACTACTAATAACACACTGCATATTGAAAATTTGAAATCATTATAAGGGCTACGAAATATTTAAATCTTAACTTTGCTTTATAAGGAAAGGAAGGGTCAACGCCTATAGAAATTTAACATCAGTGTTGGCCCCCGCTTGGAATTTAAAAACAAAATAGATGCAAAAATAATAATATCTTTCAACATCAGGAATTTCAAGAAAATTGGTCATATAACTCTTTTGATTAAAAAAAAAGAAAAACACAACTTTCTTTTCCACTTTTCCTCCAACTTGTCTATCTTCATTACCAAAAGCCCTTGGGTCTTGATATTTAGCAAGTAGGTTGTTCATGTGAATGGATTCTAATTTTGTAAACGTTGATGACCTTGACCTGCGTTAAAGGTCACAGATGTCAATGGTGCTGAAATAAAAAAAAATGTATTGGGAGTCAGACAAGGATACCCTTCCTTGCTTTATTTGTTTAGAGTTAACGATTATAATGTTATATTCCTCAATATGTTGTTTAGTGAATGGACAATAGGCCAAATGAAATAATAACTAGAGCTGTAAGCCTAAGCCAAAGACTAAATAATACACCCTATATAAACCAGAACTGTAAGCTAACGGCNCCCCCCCCCCCCCCCCCCCCGTAATGATTTAATCATATACAGTGTATGTCACTGACATACTTTTTGTACTCCCTCCCCATGCCAAAACATACTTCCATACAAAATCTTGTTAGCCGAGCTGAACCAGTTTTGCTAACATCAAAGGTTCGGAATGAAAACATACTATTTGAATGCACAATGTCAGGGGCAGTTACCATATCTGTAAACTTTCGTTGAAATTGGCTCCATAGTTTTCGAGGGGTTGTCAGGACAATTATTTTTCAAAAAAGGGCCATTATTCGTAAAAAAGGGTCATATTGAAAAAATAATACCTGGATGCACACCATCGGGTGGAAGTTATCATATCTGAAAAAGTTCGTTAAAATCGACCCCTTAGTTTTGGAGGACATGTCTGCACAAGAATTTGTCATCAAAGGGCCATAACTCTGTCCAAAAGATGAGAATGAAAACATAATACCTGGGTGCAAAATTTGAGGTGGTAGTTATCATATATGGAAATTTGCGCTGAAATTGGTCCATAACTTTAGAAGGAGTTGTCCAGACAATCTTTTTCTACAGACAGACAGACAGACAAGCTGATTCCAGTATACCCCCTTACTTTATTGCAAGGGGTGTAATAAAGTGTATAATAGTTCTGGTGCACGACTTGTACACACGATCCACTGTGCTGCTGTGTGACGCAGGTAAACGGATATCTTATATACAATGTATCAGAATATGTCACATGATCAGGGTGTGTTTTATGTGATCACCACCAATCAGAACATTGCAACGGGAATAGACATGCACATTATATGTATGTCTTTACGCATGCATGTATAATATCGCTATCTGTTTAAAGTATTCCTAATCACACATTTATCAGTTAAGATAAACAAACCTCTGATTGTTGTATCTGTATTATCTTTAACGAGGAACGAGTTGTATAGATGCTGTAAGCTTATTCTCTTGAGATTCTACTTATTGTTTGTAGTAGTTTTGCGATGAGGTGAATTTGTTGTAATAGGGAGAGAAAAGAGGCGGAAAAGTAAATCTTCGCCATCCAGCTGCAGATTTTTTAGCATGTTTAAAATAATAGTTTGTTTGAGGTAGCACCCTCACGTTATCTACAATGTAGTTACACTGCAGATTTTTAACATTTTTTAAAGTCACATATTTATAATTCTTATTCATTATATGTAATAGGCATGCGCTTTGAGGTTTGAAAAGTTGAAAATCAACTTAACCAAATGATGCAAAGCCGTGTTTTTCCAGGAAATGATACAGGATAGATTAACTTCGACTAGTTTAGAGTGGGAGAAAGATATTTCCATACGTGATGAAATCATGATATGCACCGTTATTTAAGTGCTGTTCAGAACGTCTGTAATTATTATTTAAATCAAATACAAGAAAACTAATCCTTGTTGTCCCGGAAGATATTTATCATTTTGGTCGTTTTCATTTTGTTAACACAGTATTGGTGGAGTAAAGCCAGTTTATAGTACGTAAGTAATTATATAATAAGTCGTAATTACGAGAAGTCTATGTTAGAAGAACAATATGTCCTACTGGTGAGTAGGTAATAAACAGGAGGTAATAACATGGATTTCGTAAGAAAGACAAATAATGGCATACTAACAACATTTAACATATAACACATACCACCAATCATCTTAAGCAAGAAGCAGACAAAACAATATTCAAAAAAGAGCTGAAGCGGTTGAATTATATTTTTCGAAATATGTGTTTGGGTTATTCAACAATAAGTAAATAAAATGAAACAAGATAATATGATTTCTATTTCCAAAGCAACTATATTTAACTATATCCATCACTCTATTAAAGCACCATAGCCTTTAACCTTTTACAAGCCGGAATACAAGAGACAGATACTGCTTGAGGTACAATAAGGTTTGTGTGTGAAAAAACATGGAATGTCAGCTACACATATTGAGAATATTCCCTGTGCTCTTATCTACATTCGTCTGTAATTTAAAATCGACAAGCTGTTAACTTAATATTATAATGATACACAAAGAACAATCAAACGTGGTTTTACTTATAAAAAATAAAAAAATAAGTGCATACTATTTATATGGCATAAACACAATTTATATACATGATTATGTATATATTGCAAATTTGGTGGTTTATAAGTAACATACAATTAAAAAGAACATCTATCGATATCAGTGTAAATATAATCCTCTTACAAATTAATAGCGTTGTTTGGTTTCGAACATATCTAAAATAACTAATGTTGAAGGTTATAACATCAGAAATGTCTACTCATAAAACGTTAAATACTACCGGAAACAACATGTAAAACGGCGATACTTAAACCAAATGTTACTGTAACCACGGTATTTGGTAGATGGAATTCAGATATAATTATATTTTTTGCAACTATGTGCTGGACATTGATGTTGTAACACTCATGAAGTGTTCATCTCATTCATAACATTGCCAAGATAAGATTGCCAATTCTCAGTGAATGTTATTTTCCGCTTTTCTTTAAACAGTAAGTATTGTGTTATTACATTTACCGAGACCATTGGACGAAGGGAGAAACGATAACAACAGGAAGAAATGCAACTAAAGCAATCAGTCCCCAAACTCGTTTTGGTGACTTAATAAACACAAACAAATTAATTAGAGTGGAGAAAAATGACGCAGTTTCAATGTGTCAGTCTGTAAATTATCAGCAGCTATCTTCCACTTAGTGTGTCGATATGAACAAGACTTATGAGATTTATTTCATCACTGCATCTATTCAAACAGGTATTAAGGATGATATAACATATATTAACCCTTTTAGACGATCATCCCGCATCCGGTATCGACACTCAAGATAAAAAGAAGATATTGTCAGATGTCTGAAAACGGAATTGGATATGTTTTTCTTTGAAGTTAAATTAGTCCCTTGTTTCCATCAGACACATTGAATAACGTTCAGTGCCACACAAGGCGTTATATCAAAATGTAATGCAATTTAAGATGAGTTAAAGAACAACTAATGTGATTCACATTCCTCTCCCTTGAAACGATATGACACATAATCGATAGGTGATCAATATATTTCCGTGGTTCAGGGTATTTTATGTAAACGCTTGTATCTGCATACCTGTAGTATTTGATAGTTATTATAACGCAACAGTAGATATGTTACGAGCACTTATGTATATACTGTGAAATATTAATAGGAAAATTATATGTATTTTCTTTACGTCTTATTTTACTTTTTGTTATGTGTCAACAATACCAATTTCGATCAACGTTTCTACCTTCATCTTCATAATTTATAAGAGTAACTTAGGTGTACGCTTCTATGTGAAAGAATATAACTTCAAGAATAAGCTTTGTATGTATGCAAACAAAGTATTAATTATTTTTTCTAGTGAAATATCAGGAAATTACTTGCGAACTACTTGTGAGTAAAGGAAATTTAATCTTGATTATCTTTTGAAAAGAATCGTTATCAACAACAAAAAAATACAAACATATTGGCAATAAAACACCGAACAATGTATAAAAACAAAAACACATGCTACAGAGGATATCCAGAATGGATAGTTACACCATCCCGGACCTACATACATAGCGCCCTGGGAGGAAACGCTACATATATACCTGCTAACCCGAAGAAATGTTACAAAAATATTCACATTTGTTATGTCAATAATAAAGTGGAACCGTTTGCTTTGTCTAAGTTCAACTTGTTAAAACATTTTGAAAACACTTCTTATTCAGCAGCATCAAAGAAGATTACAAAAAGTAAATGTTCCATACGCATATCACATTAACTTGTGTTAGCCGAAAGTCATTACAAAACATTATCAATATACAATGTATCAGTACGGGATAAAAAGCAACGTTAATTTAAACATTTGATTTGAATATTTGATATCTGCTCTCGATAAGAAATAATCATAGAACGAAAATAATGAACAGTTCTTACATATTCCAAGGCCCCAACTTCGCCACCTGTGTGACATCACGTGTTATTTTGTTGCATGTCAAGGTTACGGTCTTCGTTTCGCTCTTTGGGCTGAGAGCCACCACTACATGACCAACGGGAGTTGTGTCCGGATTTGTCTTAGTGAGAACTAGCACAACGCCATCACCCTTGAACAGATAATGATTTGAATGTAAAAAAGTTATAATGAAGAATAGTGTATTTTAAGTGATATGACAGAAATTGTTACTGATTAAAGCTGCAGAAAGTTTCCAATGCAGCCGTTTTGTAATGAAGTTAACCGTGTTTAGTTCCAAACACCTATCTGAACTTCCTCGTGTCCATTCTTGATTTCTAGATCACGGCCAACGACTTCTGAATCCGGCTTAAAAATTAAAGATTATCATTGCTTTCAAATTACGACTTTCGGTACAACTATGATAATCTTATACATCAGCTTGTTTTTACAGCTATGACATTGCAAAAATGAAATCTTACTTGTGCTTGTTCGTTTATTGTCTCGGTTATCTCCTCTCGGTTCAAGAAAATGCTAAAACGTCTAATTCGATAAAGATTTGTATTTCCACAAACGATTACAGGATTGACATTCACTCAATAACCGTTATCGCTGCAAGATTGAGTTATCATCCTGTGACCATGTAGAACCATAGAACTTGACAGGTTTCACTGACGTCGACGACTATATTAGTGAGCGTAGGTATGCAATTTTTCGCGAACGAGACACAATTATGTGGCGTCTTGAGCAGAAGATATACGCGGAGTTAACTGGAGACATTTCAACGAACCAAGCACACGTTGATATGAATAGAAAATGAAATTTGAAAGTTATGAACCAGTAACAGAAAAAGACTGTAAAAAACGTTTTCTATTGAAGTCACATTATATGATAATTCTAATCGAGCATGAGTAAGTTTATCACTGATAGCGTTGCCATCAAAACATTCCTTGAATACGTTGGAACATTTATTATTTGCCAAACTGTAGATTTAGATGGTAACATTTATATTTGGCTAAAACGTAATACTTATATAAGGATCTGGTTTATATTGAACAAGTCCTGAGTAATAGAAAATGCATTTTAGTTTTGAAATCAGGTACTGATAAACCCCTAGCTACATTCGACAAACCCATTTGAAAAGAATGCAAAGAAATAATTGCCACTGAATCGTCCTGAAAACAGTATTTTATATGTAAAATATCACTATATGTGATATTTTTCTTGTTGAATCTGTATTAATCCTTAGAAAAGCAGGATACTTTCATTTGTCATTATGACGCAATTTCAAGAAGAAATGTATCGATACCTAAACAAATTGGTAAAGTATTTTAACAAATAATCTGATGCCGCAATTGTCATCATAATCGTTTTCAAATTTATCGTTTTCAAATTTCATACGTGTGGGTGGTAGCTTCGTGAATGTAAGCCTTACACCGTTTTTCATTTCAGTTATTAGTCCACAATCAGAACCTTGATGTTGATCTGAATGAAATATTTGTTATTCATAAAAAGTCATATTTGACATAGTGTTATATGTCTTCTTACCGGTAAATCGCTTCATATTTCAATTATAAATCATAGCAGATTATCTGAAGGAAACTTACAATTCCACAACCAGATATGGTAAATGTGTCTGTGTTTGTTGTTTTCAGCGTGACTTGATTATGTCTACATATGGCCTTTTCTGGTAAAGTCCAAGGTGAATCGGACGTTAGGGTCGCGGTCAATGTACCCTGTACATCACATGCTGAATATAAAAGCAAAAAGGCATACTTAGGAAAAAATGCTAAGACGATCACCTATTGTCATACGAGCGCATGGAATGTGTGCTAAATAGATATAAAATTATATGATAATATGGAACAACTCAATGAAAAAATATGCTTATCCATAACTAATTGAGATATTACATCGTATGATACTGGCAAACAAGCCGATACTCTTTATTTTATTCATATAGAGCGGTTATTGTGCATCATTATCATATGTTTATGAATGTTCAGTATCATATATATTTGTTGCAAAGGAGTCAAGCTACTTCTCGAAAAACGAACGTCTTTATTATGCAATTTTCACAAACATGTCGATTAGTGTTAATATCTAATGTAGAATAGGTCTGTACTTTATTCTAACGACAGTATATACGTGATTTTACTTCTATATTTTGATATCAGAAGGGAATATCATCAAAAACATACAAATCAACCGTTTGATGACTGGAAAAGGTGTTTACATGCGACAAACAACATACATATATGATTTTGATGAAAACTACCCATTTTGAAAATATAATATCAATAAACATTAGGCGTCATTAAATCAACAGAGATATCTAGTTCAAATATGTTAGATATAATATCACAAGAATGTAACACTTATTAGATAATGTTTTTAATTGTGCAATATGTTACACAAACATAAAATACGATGTAATTATGTTTAAAACAAGTTTCGTCTATGTTTGTATCTGGTAAACACAATACATAAAATATATGTGTGTGAGGTCATCATATGATGACAATATAAATTCTACTTACACACAGATTTTATAGGATCTTCTCCTCTTGAAAAACAAATGTACGCCAAGAGTAGCAGACATACGTATGATATCTTCGTCATGATCATAACCTTGTGATCTGAAAATATTAAAGTGCGCATTGGTAATATTCAGTTTGCCACAAAAAGAAGCAATGACATGGACATGAATGAATACCAGTTAATATTCCTAAACATTTGTGTGCTGACAACTTTCATTTATTTTCCATTTTGTCAATAGCTTTGTGTCTTGCTCTCAAGTGATAGCGATCATTTTTATATATTTGGATATGTGATGAGTTTCACTAATGCGAATCATAAACCCAAAAGTATAATATCCCCATACTAATATTAATAAAATCAGCTTTAGATTTATAAAAGTTAAATCACAATGCGTGTCTGTAGAACAAATCGCACATCGATATACTTGCGTTATGATATTATAAATTGTAAGTATGATAAAATAGGAAACAGATACAGGTTAGTATTTTGTTATGTAATTCATTTTCGATAACGTTCGAAATAGTGTAAACATATTGTACTAATTGTAGTTTTGGAGTTCAGTTCTTTGACGTTGTATTCAATAGATATATGACGTAGTTGTATATAAATTTGAAGTTAAGTGTTTAATCAACAAGATGGTAGCAAATTATCATAAACTTTTTGGAAATTCAGAGAAAATAATTCGAATATTACGACACATTTCCATTAATTAACCGGGGAGTATCCTACATTACATTTTTAATAGATTTATCACCGGAACAAGAAATATGTCTTGAGCACAGAATCTGAGTTCGAGTATGAGAACGGTTTCATGAATACAGGCCCAGTTTGTATTGTTGTGTTAATATGTTATTAATTTATGATCTGGATTTGGTAGTGATATAACGTTTTATGAGTTGCTGGAAATAAGAGTAATATCAAGCAGTACATATTTAAATAAAGTGATTATGTAATTTTCCTTTATTAAACATATTCATGTATCCGTTTTCTTCTTAAAAACGAAAACCAATAGGTATAGATATTCCCAAGTACTGTTTATTAATATCACAATAAGAAATAAAATACTTGTACAAGTACTAACGATAAGCAAAGTGGTAGGCAGAGAACGACTGAGGAAGATGAATAACGAGATAACAAATGAAGTTTGTCCTAAATAAGGCTGAACGACATGTACTTTAATTTGTAAAGGTATTAGTCTCCTTAAGTATTTACCTCCCGGACTAGCTTTAAAGACACAGCAATATTTAGGTGGACTACTTACTATGTACATCAACTGTTATTTTTAGGTAACTTCCGGGTTAGCACTGTTGTTAACACAGAAATCAAATGTCCATACATTGTTAATAAACACCAAATTGTGTATCATCCTTTTGGAATTCATGTCAATTTCCCGTAGAAATGGCGCCAAAGGAGACGCAATAATTTGATAAATAAATGATGCTCATTTAGTAACACACTATGCTTACACAACACAGGGTACTAAGTTTATTTCATCTCACAATCGTTATTGACAGACTGACAAGGATGTGACTTATTTATATCGTATGTACTTAATCAGTGTAGATCGTTAAGTCGTAATAGTAGTCACTAGATCAAGTCTCAAAATATTGCATCACAGATCAAATGTAAACATTAAAGGATCAATATTCACCTTTTAAAAATCATTGATGAAATGCGACAAAGAAACTTCGAAGCATGTTTCCTTTTTTATACAACGTATGATGGAATACTTGAGACATTCAATGTGTCCATGAATTTTGCATAGGGTAAATGTCTTTGGCTGAGTTCTGTCAATAGTACTAATATATGCGGATGCTTAAGGTGATTCGAGAAACTCGAACGTAACAAGTCAGCTGACATATGGTTTCTGAGATAATGGATGTTATGATTGTTAGGAAGGCCTCAATTAGTAAAACATATCTGATTTTTAAATTGTGCATTAGTACGTATTGATAATACTGTGCTATTGTGTTTATCTTTATTGTTGAGATCTTAGGGAATTGGCATCTTCATTAATAAATTTTAACTTTTGAATTATTACGATCAATTTCCGACAGCATCGCGTAAATTAAGGTAAATCCTATATCCATCATTGATAATAATACGAAAATATGTTATTGAATAATAATGCAGAATTAACTTTTTCAAACGCATTTCAACAAAAACTCTCAAATATGAAAGTTATTGGTAAAAATTTATTTGTTATAATCTTGTAACAAGATAAATTGTATCAAACGCGGACATGTTAATAAGGACCTTTTAAATACATCGTAGATAAATACTATGTGTAAAAAGAGGTTCCTTGCTAATATAAAGCATTGATTGCGTTTTAACTAAAATTTGTTGAACGTAATTTAGATTATTGAATCACTTAAAAGGAAATCCCCCAGATAATAGCGGAATACTATTTCAGGTAAATAAAATAGAGTTTCAGAAATATGCTTCTGACTATGTGATGGTTTAAGTCCAATTTTACGACACCTGCTCGACTGTTACTTGTATCCATCCAGTTGTATATACTTTCTATTTCTGAAATATTCATTGTCAACTACTTAGTCTGTTATTTTAGCCGTAAAATGAGCTAATTCCGTTTCAGCATCTGAAACTATTATCGTTCTGAGTTAACTGAAGTTATCTCTCGTACAACTCAGAAGCATTTTTGTGATTTTAATCTCAAGCATTGTGTTCATTAAATAAATGCAAAAACTGAATTAAAATATCTGAGTTACGACGTCATAATTAAAAAAAAAATCAGAATGGCAGAATGTTAGAACGTAGTTTGTTTACGTTTCACTGACATCGTTCAATTGGGTTATCTTTGAAATTATTTAACGACCCATCCATAAAAGCTAGTTCTACACTATAGTCTAGGCATTTCATAACTTTGCATTCTGGCTAACACGTAAGCATGGTCGTTGTTTGTATTGCCAAATATATGATTTCGACCTAATCGAAAAAGTATTTGAAGTTAAGAGCTACGTAAACATGGTGCTCCCTATGGGAATAAATAAATGTCTGACTATTCGGTAAATGATTTTGGTAACCGGTTCGCAGTCTTCCGACCGTGTAACCGGTTACCTGTTGACGACTCTACCTAATAGCCAATCAATCATGTCGACTGTTCTGAAGGGGATTGAGGAGCAGGAGGTCGCAGGTAAGTTCAACCCAAGTTTGAAGAAAATAATTGGCTCTCGCCCATACGATATAGAGTTCTGTGCTGAGGAGTCAAATGATGCTCGGTCTAGTCCTCATTGATAAACACATTGTGTTTTTGATATAGAAGCAGAAAACTCACTGTTGACAAGCAAATCATCTCTGTTGCACTCAAAAAGAATGGTGAACATGTCACGATCAGGATAACAACCGTTTTGTGGAAAATATATCCAGAATGTCTCCAGCCTCAGTGTCTTACGTCAATGTTATCTTGAAGGACCCATTTTCAGGACATTTTTTTTTGACCCATCTACCTTAGGCCGACAAGCGATATCAGCCGTATTTGGAAAAGGGCAGAATATCACCGTCAAAGCAGTTTACTTGAAATAAGGATAGAAGATAGGTATTGCGGAAGAGGTCGATCAGATTCCAGTCATACAAACAGTTTGTCTTGTTAGGAACATCGGTTGCGATAAACCAACAAGTTGTCACTAGGAATGCCCGATAATCTGACCGAAATGTGCCAGCGTTCATATGAAGGGTTTGATGCCACCCAGTATGAGTCTCTGAAGAAACTCTCGGTTCGATGTTGTCATGTTTCTGCAGATCACGACCAAGATCGTGGTTGCTAAAAAGGAAATAAACACAAGATAAACACAAGAAACGAGCAACAAGTAAAGCATAAATTACGCAGGAGCCCTCTGGGATTCCAGGAACAAGAGAATCGCCTTTAAAAAATGCTCGACGCTGGAATGATTGCACCGTTCACATCAGAGAGGGCATCAGTACATGTACTTCTTGAAGAAAGATGGCAGTGTCCGGTACTGCATCGAATAAACATAAATTCTGGATCCGCGAACACCACGAAAGTAACACTACATACATGGTCGAAGGACGAAGGACACGTTTCTAAATTGTTGTCATTCAACATTGCAAAATATCGTATTGCAAATTGACGAAGTATGTTTGGAGAAAAACAAATAATCGAACTGTTCCATTTGTGATAATTAATCATCCATCCATTTATAACCATAAACAGTCTTGGTTTATCAGAGGTTGCTGTGACGACGTTAAATTTTGGATCAGAAAATAAATGTAATACCAATATGAAGTTTCATTATTTATAGGTAATTACTGTCTGAATGTTCTCATGGGAACCGTGAGGCAAAATGCTATGAGGAAAAGGAAGAGAGGATAACAATATTAAGAAAAGCAGTTAAAACAATAAGTCCCCAAACTAGTTTTGGACATTGTAATATGAACGGAATAAAATAAAAAGAATAGAGAAAGAATGACGCGGTTTCAATGAGTCACTCCGGATTTTTAACCCTTTTAGACGACCATTCCGTATTCAGTATAGACACTCAAGATAAAATGAGATGTTGTCAAATTTTGGATAACGGAATGAAATATGTTTTACTTTGAAGATACAATGGTCCCTTGTTTCAATCAGACACACTCAACAATGTTGAATACCACACAGAGTTTTTTTTATCAATAAATATTCAGTTTACGATAAGTTGAAAAAACGACATATATACGTCCCTGTCCTTGGATAACCGGACGTTTCGTTCATCCAACAGCGCACATAATTGATAGGTAATCAATCAAATTCCGTGTATCAGGATATTTTTTGCATGCTGTTCTTATTGTTGAAGGACAAATTTATTTTAAACACTTTAAAGCTGGAAGGCAAAATATAAACGAAAAATGTCTTTGTTAGTTTTGTAACAACACGACAGGTCGATACCATAACTTAACGTAAGAGTTAACAGTCAAACCAACCTGGTTGTATCTACACTCCTCAAACGTTGACGTCAAGACACATGTGGGATGGTAATTATAACATAACAAAAGATATACTACGCGCGCTTACGTTTATCTGTTAAATCTTAATGGGAAAATGACATGTGCAGTATTTATTTTCTTATCTTGTTTTGCTTTG